TCTGGTTTTGGAATGAGGATGATACTGGCTTCATAAAAAGAGTTTGGGAGTCTTCCATCATTTTGAATTTTTTGGAATAGTCTGTGAAGGATAGGGGTTAGCTCTTCCTTAAGTGTTTTGTAGACTTCTCCTGTGAAACCATCCAGTCCAGGGCTTTTGTGTGTCAAGAGTTTTTTGATTACTGCTTTAATTTCTTCTGCCGTTATTGGTCTACTCAGGCTTTCTACTTCTTCATTCAGTTTTGGAAGATTTTATCTCTCTAGAAATTTATCCATTTCACCTAGGTTTTTAAATTTCTTGGTATACAGTTCTTCATAGTAATTTCTTACAATCCTTTGTATTTCTGTGGTGTCAGTTGTAATCTCTTCTCTTCCATTTCTGATTGTGTTTATTTGGGTCCTCTTCATTTTTTTCTTGATGAGCCTGCTTAAAGGCTTGTCAATTTTGTTTATTTTTTCAAAGAACCAGCTCCTGGATTCATTGATCCTTAGAATTGTGCTTTTCATCTGTATATCATTTAATTCTGCTCTGATCTTGGTTATTTTCTTCTTTCTACTAGCTCTGGGCTGTCTTTGTTGTTGTTCCTTGAGTTCTTGTAGGTGTAGGGTTAGGTTGTTTGTTTGAAATGTTTCTATCTCTTTTAGGTAGGTCTGTATTGCTATGAACTTCCCTCTCAGGACTGACTTCACTATGTCCTATAAATTTTGAGTTGTTATGAGTTCATTTTCATTTGTTTCCAGAAACTTTTTGATTTCTTCCCTTTATCTATTCATTTTAATTTCATTCTTGATCCATTCTTTGTTTAATAGCATGCTATTCAATCTTCATGATTTTGGGTGTTTGGGATTTTTCCCTTGGGGTTGGTTTCTAGTTTCAATTCCTTGTGGTTGGAGAAAATGCTTGGTATGATTTCAATTTTCTGGAATTTGTTGAGGCTTGTTTTGTGTCCTACCATGTGGTCTATCTTTGAAAATGTTCCATGTGTGTTTTAGAAAAATGTGTATCTAGCTTCTTTTGGATGAAGGGCTCTATATATATCAGTTAGGTCCATTTCATCTAGGGCATTGTTCAATGACACAATATCTTTGTTGATATTTTGTTTGGAAGATCTGTTCATTTTTGACAGTGCAGTGGTAAAATCTCCTGCTATAATTGTGTGTTGTAAATATCTTTCTTGAAGTGCTGTAAAATTTTCTTTATGTTTTTGGGTGCTCCTACATTGGGTGCATATATATTTATAATGTTTATGTCTTCTTGGTGGATTCTTCCCTTGAGTATTATGAAGTGACCTTCTGGGTCTGTCTTTATGGCCCATTTTTTGAAGTCTATTTTGTCTGATATGAGTATTGCTACCCCAGCAATACCATTTGCTTGAAAAATTTGTTTTCAGCCCTTTACTTTTAGTCAGTGTAGGTCTTTTGTCTTGAGGTGGGTCTCTTGTAGGCAGCATATGTGTGGGTCATGCATTCTTATCCATTCAGCCATTCCATGTCTTTTGATTGGAGCATTTAATCCATTTACGTTTAAGGTTATTATTGATAGGTACTTATTCATTGTCATTTTTGTACCTGTGTTCCTCTCTCTCTCTTTTCCTTCCTTTCCTTAAAGCAGTTCGTTTAGCATGTCTTGCAGAAGTGGTTTGGTGGAGGTATATTCTTTTCAAATTCTTTTGTCTGGAAAGTTCCTTATTTGGCCTTCTATCTTGATTAAAGCCTTGCTGGGTAAAGTAGCCTTGGTTGCAGGCCTCTGGTTCTCATTACTTGAAATATTTCTTGCCATTCTCTCCTGGCTTGGAGCTTTTCCATTGAGAAGTCAGTTGCTAACTTTATTGGGGCTCCATTGTATGTTATTTCCTTTTTCTCCCTTGCTGCCTTATATATTCTCTGTCTTGAAATTTTGCCTTTTTAATTATGATGTGTCTTGAAATGGGCCCCTTTGGGTTCCTCTTGACTGGGACTCTCTGTGTTTCCTGGATTCGTGTGACTTTTTTCTAATAAAATTAGGGAAGTTTTCCATCATTACTTTTTCAGATAGGTTTTCTATCCCTTGCTCTTCTTCCTCTCCTTCTGGTATCCCTATTATTCAGACATTCTTACATTTCATATTGTCTTATTTCTCTTAATACCTCTTCATTCTTTCTGAGCCTCTTTTCCTTTTCTTGCTCTTTCTGGGTGTTTTTTCTACTTTGTCCTCCACCTCACTGATCCAATCTTCTGCTTTATCTATCCTGATTTTGATTCCTTCTACTGTGTTCTTCAGTTCAGATATTGCATTCTTCATTTTCTCTTGGCCCTTGTTGATAGTTTCTATTTCCTTTTTCATGTCGATATAGTTTGCAGTGAGTTCATTGTAGTTTCCCTGTAGTTTCTGGTAATTTGCTGTGATCTCATGGAACTTCCTGATAACCATTGCTTTGAACTCAATATCTGATAGTTAGTTGAGTTGCCTCTATTTCATTTAGCATTCCTTCTGAGGCTTCCTCCTTTCCTTTCATTTGGGGATTATTTCATTGTCTTCCCATTGTTTGTGAGACTGTTCTTGTTAGCCTCAGCTTCTTAAATTGATCTGTTCTGACTCCCTGGGTTTATGGTGTGATCTTCTGTGGTAGAATACCTGTGAGATTCAGTGGTGCAGTCTCCTTCAGGTATTTTGGTGTTCACCACTTTTACCTACTCTTTTTTGTGATCATTTGGAGGGGTAAGTCAAAATGTTTTAAGACAGCAAGAGTGTATTCTATGCTATTTACAGTAGCAGCCAGTAAAGAGATAGGAGATCCCTTGGCTATGTGTACTGTTAACCGTGATCTTCCACCCAACTAGGCACCTTTTAGAAAGGATGGAAAAAAAGATAAGACTTTTTGGAAGGGAAGGATTGAGTTGGATCTTGAAAGCAGTGAGGTTGTGGGAGGTAAGATTCTTAGGTAAGGTGAGAATAAAGGATAGTAAATAGGTGTAGTGTGTGAGAGAATAGGGTTAACCACTATGGTAATAGAGTTCAGGAAACCGTGAAGTGGGCTAAGATCTGGGAGGGATGTTGTATAGTCTGGTTTTTCAATATCTGCTACAATTTTTGGTCTCTTATTTTTATATATGCTGTGGTACCGGTGGCTGTCTGCTCTGTTCCTTCATAGATTGGCCGGGTTTTTCTCCCATGTGTAGGAGGAAGTGGAATCCTCACCCTCTTACCTAGCCACCATCTTTCCTCTCCCCTACCAGAATTTTTATTCACCACACGTGGATGTGGGACCAACCCATTGCACATCTGTGCCCTTCCCACCAGTCTGGATAGATGTGGTCCCTTTAATTGTGTAGTTGCCAGGCTTCCATTCAATTTTTTTCTGACAGTTCTGAGTGATGGTTGTTCTATATTTTAGTTGTAATTTTGATGTGGTTGTGCCAAGAGGCAAGCCATGTCTGCCTACGCTGCCATCTTGACTGGAAGTCAAAATGTCTTATTTTTTAAAACATTCATTTAAAACAATAAATTTTCCTTTAACTTTTAAGGTAATGTTCTATTTTCTACAAGTTTAGTTTTATCTCACAAGTTTTGATATAATATGTACAATACATACCAAACTATATGTAACTTTCTTATACTTCAGAACATTTTTTACTTTCCAGGTTTCTTCTTTGATTCATGAGCTATTTAGCCTTGCTTTACTTAATTTACAAACTTGGGTGATTTTTAATTTTGATTTTTATTATTAATATGTGGTTCAGCTTTACTGTATTCAGGTGGCATACTATAAGTGTCTTCAGTTTTTTTTTTTCATTTGGTTATTACCATGTTATTGCCCTTTATTTTGGTGAATGTTTCATGTGCATTTTAAAGAATGCACATTCTGTACTTGTTTCATGTGGCTCTCTGTTTGTCAATTGCCTTAGTTTTGTTAATCATGCTGTTCTGATGTCATTATTTTTATACTTTTTGCTCATTATTATATCCGCAGTTAAGACAAGAGTGTTGTAGGTACTTGGCAGCAAGTGACTGTAGACAGTAATTTAATCAATATGTTTTACATCTGTTGACCCTTAGTCACCAGCATCCCATTTACAGCTGGTGATTAGACTAATGCCTCTAAAGCAAATTACATGGGAAAACCAGTATGATGATATCTCGTCCTTATGGTTGTTTCTTCAGAACCATGTTTGGTACCAAAGATTGATTCAGTCTGTGTGTGTTCAGAAAAGTTGACACTGCATGTTTGAAGACTAAAACTTTGGTACAGGATTTAGGGACAACATGTTTGTGGGAGGAGCTGGGGAGTGATGGTCTGAAAGGCTATGTCACTAGACAGGTAATAGTAACTAAAACTTTTGGCACATTACTCATTTACTAATGTGTTTGGAAAACCCAGAGATTAGAGGAAAATCTAAGAAGCTAAGACATCTAGCTGCCATGACTACAAAAGGGAAAAGGCCTGTGAACTTCCTATGCCCAAGGTCTCTTCAAGCAGAACAATGGCTTCTGCTTTACTTCCACCTCCCAAATCTCATGTGGATCTGCATTGGTTTACCCAGGACTGTGCAGTGAGGGTGATACCTACTTGACAACAGGCAATCCAACATATCTTCTTAGTCATATATTCTGTTTTATTATTTTCATTGTTTCCTTAGAGTTTAACACCTTTCCTAGATTATTAGCAGTCTAGTACAAGTTTGTGATTTCATTACTTGCAGAAAATGCTAAGATTTTGTTATGTTTCATTTACCCAGAAATGGCAAGGGCAGCGGAACACAAGTGAAAGTAGCAGGAGTTCCACTGTTTACTCTGAATGCCAGTGCATCACAGTTGCAGTGAATTTGAGGGTTTGTCGAATCCTAAGCTGCTGTCATTTAACATAACATGAAACTTTTTAAGTACTTGTTAAGGGATCAATACACAATTCTAATCATAATTGTAATCCTTTAAGTCACAATTCTGTCTTTCCCTAACAATCGCAAATACAAAAGCATAATGTTTCATCTTGTTCTTAAAATATGTATTTGTCTCATTTCCAGTTGTACCACATAAGTCTAGTCAGTATTGTTGCCCAGACGAATGGATTGGTTTTCAAGATTATTGCTATTATTTCTCTAATCATGAAAGGAACTGGACTTCAAGTAGAAATTACTGTAACGCTAAACATGCTGATCTAACTGTGATCAACAACACTACAGGAACGATGGTTAGTAATCTAATACACATTCATTATGAATATTATTACATAGGGACTCTGGAAATATTAAAATTTTATTATGATTTTTAAGATTTTTACACATGCCTATTTACACAGAATATTGAAGATGTTCAAAACATGCCATGGAACATACCTGGTGATATTTTTGTTTGGATAGTGTAAGACTTATATCAAGACATAAACTTAATAATTATCTTTATCTTTTGAAAAATATAAATAGAAGAGCTTGAAATATTTGGAAATGTTAAAAGCCAATACTCCACAATGACTAAATTGCCTCAGGATGGACGGGATTCTTTATTCCCTTTTCCTCCAGCGTCTCAGCCTTGCTTTGCCATGTGTCTCCGAGGTCCTGTGGCAGCCTGCAGTGCATTACTCACTACTAGTCATGCAATGGGTGTGTAATCAAAAGTTCTGCCCTAGACAGGAGTATGAGCTTCCAGTGAGCAGATGCTGTGTTTTTCTTGAAATGGTATCTTTTGCTGTAGCATAATGGCAGATACCAATAAAAGCTTAATGGATCTTTCTTGAAGAAATGTTAATTTACATGACAAAAATTTTATGAGTAAAGAGAATGTCCAAGAACTTTAATGACAGATTATGAAATTCTGTAGCTCTGCACTTGTGAAATTTGTTATTTCCCCAATCATTTCTGTAGTAAGTGTGTGGTGGGGTTTTTTTGTTGTTGTTTGTTTGTTTTGGTTTGGTTAACCTCTTTAAAAGGGTCAACATAAGAAGTACTGTAACGATTTAAGTATTTCCATGAATAATGCACAATGAAGAAGTGTTTAAGATGTGAAGCGTACAGCACAGCAGTCAACATTGTTAGATCTGTGTGTCATTTCTGTGGTGAACAAAGTTTTTATGTAATCAACCTAAAGATTGGCTCAAATTCAAATGGAAGTGAACCAGGCTGGGAGAATTCATAGACCAGTGCAAGGAAACGAAACTATTTTGGAAGCAAGAAAAGGTGTGGAAGCCTGGATCAAATGCAGAAATCTAGATACAATAAGACAACCAGAAAATCAAATCCTTGGGCTCCTTTTTATGGGAAGAACTTCTTCACCAGAATCAATAGGTTCATTCACGAATTTTGCAAGACTTTTGCAATGAGCATTCTGAGAAATCTTTAAGCTGCCTTTTATAGTTCTTCTTGGGAGGAAAGAGGCTAGATTAGCAGGAAGATGGAAAAATACCAAGTGTTAATAAAATGTTTGAGAGACCAAAAATTAGCAAGACCAGCTTTTTAAACTCTTTACTTAAAAGAATCGTGTTGGCAATAACTGAAAAAATAGTGAATATCACAGAACACAAGAAACAGAAGTACACAAAAAAATTAGTTTTGAGTTTAAGAGAAATCATTAAATGTATAGAATGATAATGTTGTTTGGATAAAAAAAACACATCATACAACATCCTAATGTATTTTGAAGATCATAGAAGCCTGTACTACATAATCTGGGCAAAATGTAAGTGACAATCAGAGAGAGGTATACCTGTCTGTGAAGGAGTGAAAAAGAAATTTATTTAAAAGACTGTTTATCTTAAACAGTTAAAAATAATATGTATGTATTTAAATTACAAAATGTCACTCTTAGTTAAATGAGATAAAACTTGTTTTATGAAATAGTTATTGTGTGCATTTTGACCTACTTAAAATTATCTTGCATCTTTAACAAAAGGCTACATGGGCACCCCTGTGTCGAACAAATAAAGACTAATATCTATCATAGATTTAATATTTACCGGCTCTAGAAAATATGCTTCCTAATGGCCTGTCACCAAGACCCCAGCTACTAAACATCATCCAATTTTCCCTGTTACCCAGTAACCAGTCTGTTTGCAATACATTCATTCTTTCTTACATATTTTCTTTTCTGCATTTAAAGAAGCCCTCCGCTAAGTCTAGAGCATGAATGCCCTTTTCTCCCTCCCCCACCCCGTGTTGATCATGCTGGGTACCTTTGCTCCCAGGTCTACCTTTTCGATGGAGCACATCCTGTGTGAAAGTCTCCCATAAAGACCAGACACTTCTTCCTGGAAACTCACATTTTAATTTGTTTTTATTATATTCACTATGTTCTCCTTAGCAATAGGATATTTTCTAACTCTATGTTCACATAATTTGAAATCCAGGGAGAATGTTGTATTATTCTATTCCTTTTGTAATCCCACAGTTTAGGATTGTTTATTTACTAAACAATAAATTCATAAAATACTGCAGAAGATTCAAATGCCAAAGGTTACTAAATGTCACTACGATTAGATAGAAATGAACCATAAGTGTTGTGATATCACAATTCCCTTTATTTACCATAAAATTGAAACATGGAGTGATATAATGTAAAGCCTATGGTTTTCCAGGTACTGTATTTAGCAGCAGAGCAGACTTGGTGACTTTTTACATACAATATAATTCTATGGTCAAATGAGCCCTAAGGTAGCAAGAAATTTTAACATTGAATGAATAATAAGAAGAAATATCAGGAAAATTATATTTTCCCTGAATGATGGCTTTAAAACTTGAAATATTTGCAAAAAATACAATTTGATAATTAGATTTTGAAAGAACTAGTTATTTGGGGTGTGCATATGTATGCTTGTGAGCATGCATGGATATGTGTGCATCTGTGATAACTTTGGAAGAGAAGTTGAAATAAAATCAGCATTGATTCTTACTTGGAAGAGGAAAACCATTATAGTACATGGCTAATGATTAAAAATTGACAAACTCTGACTTTCCATAAGTTTATTATTTAAAACTCCTAGGGGAAATTTTTCATACTGAGTAGTTATCTATTTGTAATTAGAATGTATCTTAAAGAAAAGGTATCTCATATCTTTGTTTCACACACACACACAAAAAGAGTTAGAGAGTAAAAAATTGTTTTCAAAATGCCACAGGTATTTTCTTGTGTAGCTAGGACTTGAATGCTAGTAGAAACTGAAAAGTAAAATTATGAAATTTACGTTGTTTTGAAGGATTTTCTAAGACAACACAAATGCACTTCTGATCACTGGATTGGGTTGAAGATGGAAGGAAAGCAAATGGGGAAATGGGTAAATGGAGCAATATTTAACCAATTGTAAGTGTTTTTTTTCTTTCAGGGGTTATTTAAATTTAGACAGTGTAACCAAAAGAACTTGTGCATTAGCTACATTTCTCTAGAGCCCAAGATTTGAGAGAATGTTGCAGAGATGAAATGGGGAAGTTCTATGAAGTGTTGAATTAGTTGCATGAGTCAATCAGAGGATCTGGGGATCCAGATATAAGGGAAAGATCTCCTAGTTGGTTGTTTGGAAAATAAAGACCTACTATTCAGAAGCACAGTCCAAAAAAATTAAACGTTCCTCTTATTCTAACTTATCTTCTCTAATTCTATATCTATTTTTCAAGCTTTATGCCACCTGTTTACAGTTCATGAAAAATTCAGTGTTTATCATAACCTGATTCTGTTTGCACTGAGACACAATTTACCCTGGTCTTTGTATTTTCTATTTTATGATAAGAAAAACTGGACCTAAAGACCTGAGCTCATGTGTACATGATCTCAGCATGACCACCACTCCAGAGGATGAGTGCCGCCACTTTACCCCTTAGTTTGTAAACCTAAGGGTAAACCCCTTAGGTTTACCACTGGCCCAGCAGTCTAAATCATCCTTTGTTGTCGGGAGGGGGCATTTTTTGTGCATTGTAGGATGTTAACAGTATCTCTGGCCTTTACTCCCTTCATCTGTGACAACCAAAAATGTCTCCAGTTTTCGTCAAGTGTCCCTTGTGAAGGCAAAATTACCCCAGGTTTAAAACCTTTGGTGGATATGAACTGCTAGTTCCACTGATTCCATGTCATTTTAATATCATTTTAACAGATATAACTAACTTAATATCATTTTAACGAGTATAACTAACTTAATATCATTTTAACAAATATAAATTCTTGAAGACAGACTTTTGTGGTCCAGTTTAGTACAAATCTCTTAACTCTAGCAAGAAAGTACTTTGTCACAGGACACTTTTTTTTGGACTCAGATATTTTTAAAAGGTGTTATTGAGCAACGTAGAGATCACTGAACTCCCTGGTACCTAGTGTTTAGTCTACTCTCTCTATTGTAGATTTGAAGTGAGTGGAAATGAAACATGTGCCTACCTCAGTGATGATGGTGTAGCAACAGCTAGATGCTACACAGAAAGAAAATTCATTTGCAGAAAGGAAAGAAACAGCAAGTAAATATTTCTAATGTTGGACTTATAACCATGGGTAATATAGTTTTATTTCTATGTTTAGATGTTATTTATTTATTTTTAGAAAGAAGTGAAAGGAGAGAGAAAGGGAGGGAAAGAAACATCAGTGTGTGAGAGAGACATTGATTGGTTGCCTCTTCCATGCCCGCAACTGGGGACCTGCCCCACAACCCAGGCATGTGCCCTGACTGGGAATTGAGCTGGTGACCTTTTGGTCCACAGGCCAGCGCTCAGTCCACTGAGCCGCACAAGCCAGGGCATGGGTAATATAGTTTTGATATTTGTAACCTTTTCTTCTTTATAACTTCATTTTTGTTAAAGTAAATTTCTTCAACCTAGTTTTTATTTACTTTACAGATGGCTTGGATCTTTGTTTTTCTATATCAATTTTAGAAGAATATCATAATTTCACAGACTCTATAGGTCAGGGTTGAGAGTGTTGTATTTATAAGATCATTTTCTTGTTAATTTATAATATGTATCTTGTATTGATTTTTGTCTTCTTATATAACTTACCATTTTTATAAATAGTTACTGAAAAATATTCACTATGTGATCCCTATTTTTTGCCATTGGCATTATGTAATCTTATTATCTTTTAAAATTGTTTTCTACATAGAAATATAACTGCTTTTGGTTATTATTCTATTTAACATCCATGCTGAAATTTTTTGTAATTTCTAATAATCTGCAAATTTTGTTAAATTCTGCAAAATACAGTACCTGATAAGTTTTACTTTTCTTTGTCTTATAACTATTATTTCTTGTCAAATTAATAAAGGTAAAACTGCCAGGAAAATATGGACGGTGACTATTCTTGACTTGTTGCACATTTTAAAAAATTTTTTTCTAACATTTCAACACTAGTAGTGTTTTATCTCATTTTTGATAATATAAGTTTTAAGTTAGTTATTTTCTATTTCTCTTTTGTTAGGTAGAAGAGACCAGGAAGAATTGTCGCTTGGAGCCATCTGAAAGAACATGGACCAGCAGACCACTTCAGCTGGGTCTTCCAGGTTCCAGATATATGGACAATAAATTTCTATTTTTAATTACTCAATTTGTGATACTTTGTTCTGTATATCATTGCTACCAAACTAAGACATTTTATTTTCAAGATCTGCTTATTTTATTTCTGTGTTCCACCTTTCTTAGATGCATGTCTGAGCTAGATTGTCCCTTTCTTGTTTCAAGGTTCTTCTTTAAACTAAGGAAAATATATCCCCCACGCATATCAGTCCAGCCCAACCTAGTTTTCCCCATCACAGCACAGAAGTACACAAGAGCCATGCTCATTGTATATCTCTGGTGTCTTCTCCAGAAGTATTGAACATTTACCTTTTATTTCCTCCTTCAAATGCTGTCTTCCAAAATTTCTATGATACCATATTCCCCTGAGATTCCTCTTTGCTCCCTGAATTCTCTGCTCTCTCTGATTTCAGGACACTTTTCTTTGTCTCTGCCATACATATGAGTCTATTGTTTTAGGGCTTCTTTTCTTTTCCATTTGCACTCTGCCCTAGGGAATCTAATTTATATAGTCAGGCTCAATATCTACTCTAAAGGGTCCCAAACTTCCACATTAACAATGAAACTCTCTCTGAGTTCCAGATTTAATATCTAACTTCACACTCCACTTCCATGTCTAAATTATGTCTTAACCTGAGAGTCTAAAATGTAATTTATAACCCCCTCACCCAATAAGGCCCTCCTCAGTGCATCAGATGAAACTACTATCTGACTAGTTGCATAAAAACAGAAACCTGGTATTTTCCTTAACACTGATTTCTTCTTTATCTACCATTCACTCAATTAATAAATATTAATATTTATATTTCAAGTCCTTTTTATCTTCAAAGTTCTCATACTAGTACATCATCTCTTGTCTAATAATGAAGACTCTTAAGTATGCACTTCTTCACATTTACTTTTCCATACTGTAGCCAGAATAATGGTTTAGAAACTCAGAACTGACCAAGCTACTCTGCTAACTCACTTCCAATCTCTGTTCAGATGAAAGTGGAAATACACAGCCTGGTTGACTCCCATTTTCCACCCATGTTTCACATCCAGCTTACACCCTTTTGGCTTTCAGTGCCAGTAACTTTCTTTGCCTTTTTTTAAAAAGCCCAACATACTCACTGAACTCAAAAAGCTTTTTTCTTTTTTAACCTGTTGGTGCTTTATCCAGAGCCACTTAGTAGATTTCTTCCTTCTACTTAATTCTACTCACTCCAGATACAAGTTTATTAATAACGTATTTAATAAAGGGTTAGCTGAATCCAGTGACAATCTCAGATCTACTTTATATTATCATAAGGATCATGAAACTATTATTTATAGCACCTATCAAAATCCATTCAACTAATAATTATTGAGCATCTATCAGGTGCCAGTCATTGCTTTAAGTAATAAAGACATTACACATACCCAGACAGGACAAAACGCTTACCTCCATGGAGCTTAAACATTACATGAGGAGACAGAAAATAAAATACAGTAATTTTGAAAGATACAAAGAACAACAAATTACTTGGAAAAAGAAAGTTTTATTTTTATATTTCTCTGGCTAATTCTTTGACTATTTGTATAAATCAGGCTAAACAGTGATTTTCAAACTTTCTCATCTCATGGCATACATAAACTACTAAAATTCTGCAACAAACAAAAATATATTTTTTGCTAATCTGATAAAAAATAGATATAATTTTTTATTCATTTACACCAGAGAATTATTGATGTGTTGGCTGCTGTCATTTTATATTTGAAGGTCTAAGGGAAAAGAGGTCAGTGTCCCTGACCCCGGAGGCTTGGAGGGTGGCACCTTCAGAGAGGAGAGATGAGACGAGGTGTCGTGGGAGAAAGAGAACTAGGTGCTCTTTTTTCAAAGGTGTCGTTAACACACACAGACCACAGGAGAGAAGCTGTGCACACCATGAATCCCAGGTCTGGACATGGACTCCTTTCACTTCTATCACCGTGAAGGTGTTAGGCATAAACACACAGTGGTTTCAGCCTCAGACGAGGAACAGCCGATTACGTGCAAAGCTGGTGAAAACAAAAGAGGTCAGTGCCCCAGACTAACTAGTCAGGTATGGCATTTTAGTACTTCTTACAGCACACCAGTTGAAAATAGCTGGGCTAGAACACAAAGGCCAGTTCCAACATTGGCAACAATGATGACTGGTATTCGTGGAAGGCTATTACCATTAAAAAAACACAACTACAAGCCACCAAAGGATTATGGTGATCAGGTAGGTATACAGGTGTCACTTGGAAGGATAACTCTCATGATTAGATTTGGAACAATTTTATCTTTGAAATAGGAGATTATGATCCATTGAACAAAGTGTGAAAATGGAACTAGCCAAAGGTACAAATACAAAAATGAACAAATTGAAATTTTAACGATGAATGGAATATTTACAAAATTTAGAAGTAGCTCCTGTCAAAGCACAAAGTGCACGGTCCAGTCTTACAAAGGGAATAATGGCCTTATTCAAAGCTATCGGAAAAAAAGGAGATTGGCCAGAACTCAGTCTGAACTAAAATTTGCTGCTATAAAGCGCAGCAAGAATTTTTAAGAGCTGGGTGAGGGAGGAGAACATACACCTCTGTGTTTGTTACTTGGTTTTACTTAAAGGGAAATTGAGCTTTCTCAGGTCTTCATAATACAAGGCAGTTTCACAACTTGGAGCTAGATGCCCACTTAAGTTAGGCCCCTGCCCCTCCAGAAAAGAGAAATAAGGGTTCTGTCGTTTTTGATGATTACACTTTAAAGGGATGACTTTCAGCCCCTTGAGAAAGAGATTTCTGGGTTACAAAACCTTCAGATGGCTTAAAAACTTTTTCACATCTCAAAGGGACAGAGAAAGAACTTCCAACTACAAGTTTCTAATGTAAAAGCTCTTTAAAAAAAAAAAAAGGAAGCCGGGGTGCAAGGTCAGGCAGAATGAAACTGGTCTAAAGTTTAATCAAGCTGATGAGAAAGTTAAGGCTACCTTAGTCACTCCCCACAAATATTAATCAATTACAAAGGGAAAGAGTGACTTTACAGTGTGTTAAACAGCACATTAGTCATGTAAATAAGGTGAAGAGGATCAATTACGGGACAAATACAAGTCTGGAGCATCTGAAAGGATGCATTGAGAACAGTTTTTTTAGTCAGTGGGAACTAGGATCTACATGAAATTACAAGCAAAGCATTCCAAGGACCCACACACAGGAGACTGAGGCGTGGCAAGGTTTATTTGGGTGGAAATAGAAGTCGCCCCATGGGTATCCAATGTCCCATCTCTTTCCATCTTACCATGGGAAAAGTCTAACTGTGTCCTCAGCAAGGCCGAAACAAAAGCCAAGGTGCAGAGATTCTGCTTCGAGTTAAAGCTTAACCTTTTGGAGCCCATGCAGACTCCCACACGCCCTAGGAGCTGCCAGGCCCACATGGTCATGTGCTACTGGGTGAGAAGCGAGCAGGGGATGCACGGGACAAAGGAATTACTGGGTGGGAGAGAGAGAGCGGGAGAGAGAGTGTGTGTTTCCTTATTCCCCTGGAATTATGGGGGAATCCAGAAGCAAAACTGGAATTATCTGCTGAAGGGCAGGCCCCTTGTAGTACCGGGTTCCCCCTCTAGTTGAGTGTTCTAGGAACCCATCTGTATCAGTGCATCAGCTGGCACTGTGGTGAGAGTCTGTGTTTGGCTTCAATGAATTTTTATGTAGACTCTTTCAATGCGTTTGCTTATTTCATGATTTATCAGTCCGCCTGCCCATACCATGCTGTTTGTCAGTTTTTGACCAAAAATGCCATGCACTACTCTTCCAATCTACCAAATCTCTCCCTGAGAGACTTTTTTTGTTTCTCCACTAAAAAAAAAGTTCTCAAAAGGAAACATTTTGCTAAAGTGGAAGAGGTGTAACAAAAAATGGCAGAAGCACTAAGGCATCAAAATCGATGAGTTCAAAAACTTTTGAGCAGTGGAAACAGTGTCTCAATGGTGTATTGCATCAAACAGAGAGAACTTTGATGGCAATTAAAATTTAAACATATAAGAATAAAGACAATTCTTAATAAATACATTCTGGGGTTTTTGGGTCTCCCCTCATATACTAGCTTGAGTTTCAGATAGACCAGGTGCTTTCTCAAAATAACCAGTGAACTTCCAAAGTTTTTGCAGGCTTTTTGATGGATCTACCCCCTAGCTAGACTGACAGGCCTCTTTGGTCCAGCACTTCTCCCTGCACCGTCCAACAATCTGGTACCAGAACAGGGAAAGGAGTGCTAATCCCCTTGCTGGAGCAATGCTGCTACACCCTGTGGTATGAAGCTATCGCTTCCCGGTAAAGCAAACAGGGTCACAGTCCTCGGTTTATTAAATCAATGTCTGATTCCCTTTTCTCTTTTTCTTTTATTAATAACTAGTTAACTATGGTACATATAGAAACAGATTCACTACATCACTTCTCTGCTATTTCTGTCAAGGAGGTATGAATTGAATACAACCATGAGAGATCATCACACAGATTCTCATAAGTATCATGCAACTTTTATTTATAGCAAGTATCAACATCAATTAATATTTATCGAGCACCTATTATGTGTCAGGCATTGTAATCAGGCAGATTCTCATAAATGTTATTCAACTTTTATTTTATTTATTCAAATTGAAGGAAATTTTACAGAATAATCAGCTTGTAGTATTCAAATGTCAACATCTTAAGTGTCCAGGAAGGCTAGGGAACTCTTCTAGGTAGAAGGAGATTAAATAGACCCCTTGAACTGGGTGTTTTACTCTAAAGAACATTACTTTGACAACTGGCAAACCCTGCAGGTAACCTGAGAATTAGTTGGTAGTACTCTGGCAATTTAACGTTGATTTTGCTCATTATATTGTGATTGAGAAGAATATTTTTTGTAGGAAGTATAATAATATTACTCGATGATACTTGAAATTTCATAATAAAATACATCAGTTTGGCAACAAAATCTTAAAAAGTTCATTAAAAGGTTTAAGTTGTTTTTTCTGTACCCATGATCTTCTTAAAAGCTTGTAAT